TCAGTTTTGCTTAATGCTCAGTTTTTCAGGAACCAATTAAGAGCGATAAGTGGGGGCTGCCTGTACTATCATTTGTCCATCAAGAATCTGGTGTAAAGTCCTCTAAGGCAGAGATAATCCAGCAGTGTGTAGAAGGGGTGTGCTCGATTAGAGGCACAAGAATCATCCCAAAACTTCCTAGTTGATGGCAAAACATTAGAGAAAGGCTCCCAAAGGTTCACGTCATGAGGTAGCTGAGACTGAGGCATTGGAGAGACCAAACAGGTCAAAATTGCCATACTTCCTGCACCCAAGCCTGTCTGTCTGTGCCACTGCTGCCAACTCCTTCTCCTGTCCCTACACTCTCCCAAGAACCTTAAACCAGAACCATAATTCAGCTTCTTGCATAAAGGATCCACTTCAAAGCAACCTCAATCCTCCAATGCTGTTCAGCACAAAAGTGGCCTGGTCTAGGAACAGCTGCTTTCCCTTTTGAAATGTTTCTGCATGAAAAGCTCAGCAAGCTGGATTTCAAACAGCAATGGCTCTTTCCCCACACAGCCTGGCTACAGCACTAAGGGAATCAACAAGGCAGCCTTGTAACAACACATCCCCATGAGAAGTTCTACTACCAACTGTTGAGGGAGAGAATTATGGGGAGTAACAGAAATGGATAGGAAGTGGAGGACATGGAGTAAAAGGAGAAGCGACAGTTTTATAATGCCTTTGCCTTCCTTATCTAATTTTATTCCAGGAGCCCAACTATATTTTGGACCATGACAGATCAGGAAAAGAAATGAAACACTGAAGAAACTCAACTTGCTTTCATGAAATTTATGGGATGAGCGACAAACCTCAAATCCAGATGTGGCTTTCACAGATGGCATACAAACATCCTTGCCCCATCTGATCAACTTGGTTTGAGTGCCTGCTAAGGCTTTCCACAAACAAGGAACAGAACAGGCATCTCTCATTCTAGATCCACTTTATTTCAGATGAAGGGGAAAAGGTGATTATGAAAGAAAGGAAAAACATTACAATGGCAAGAGGAAGCCAAGCCCGTGAAAATGCAAAATGGAAGCTTTATAGATGTCTTTACAGAGAGTAGCAACTGATGTTACATGAAAAGGTGCAGAAAACAGGACACTCTCTTTCTTTTATGCAGCTACATACACCACACTGTCTAGCTAACACAAGTGGCGACATTTAGAGTGATTCATGTTCTTGAAGGTAAGTATGTGCTTGGGTGCATCTGCTAATTAGCTCTGCAGTAAACCATCACCATTTACACGTGTTGGTATTAGGGCACAGTAAACTAATTCAGTGGTCCTCAACCTTTGTTGTACCAGGACCAATTTGTAAACATTGATGGCCAGTCCCAATCCAGTGCCCCTCACTCCCCACCTGCTGACCACCCACCCCCAGCCCCCCAGTGCGGGGGGCATGGAGGCTGGAACTCTGAAAGCCACAATTTCCCATGTTTTTAAAGTTCATTTTTAAAGTTTTTTGCTGATCCTTTCATATATTCTTGCAACCTGCGGGTTGAGATATGCTGAACTAATTAACTCCACCATAAGATAGTATGGCTGGGGACAGTACTATTTTACAGTGGAGTAGTTTACTGCACTGAAATGCACGTGTAAATACTGACTGAAGGTGTAAATTGCAACTGGTCAGCCCAGCCAGCAAGGGACATGCTCTGCTCTGGCTCAAATTGCTGCTGTCCTGGGCACAAATGTAGATGCTGTTCCTGGGAGCAGTTTACTCCAACTTGAATTACTCTTTATTGCACTGTATTCATTGCATGGGCAGATGCACCCCTTAAATACTTTTGCTGAATTGGGCTTGTACTGCTCTCTCAGCACAATGTGAGGTCCCTTATACAGTGATTGTGGGATGTACAAAAACCCAACTCATTGGTTGTGCAAAAACTGGATCTTACTCCCTGTCTCATCATTTTAGAGCATATAAACAAATAGTTTAGTTATTCTTAAACGCCATCTGTCAAAAGATTTACAGCATATCCAAATGCATACCTAGAGAGATAATCCTTTGCCATTTACTCAAAGGCCAGATGGGGACAGCTTGTTGAAAATTTAACCTTAAAATGAGAACTCCGTGAATTACAGAAAGAAAGAAAAGGAACTTTGGATAAACATGTCACGCTGTAACTTCAGCTGACTGCCCTACAGATGCTGAAGTTTCTGTACAAGAAAAGAGAAGAGGGAGACTTATGAACCACTCTAATAAGGTCCCAACTCTGCTATTAAGGCACTTAAACCAGGAGTCGGCAAAGTGCCAAAAACACCTGCAACATCAACTTGCAAGATATTGGTGTGCCAGAGGCAGATGGCAGGGGAGCCACAAGGGAGTTGATCCTTGTTGTGGCAGCACAGCCCCAGCATCTTCCCCTCTGTCCACCCCAAGGCACACATGCCAAGCAAAATGCCTTTGTGCACCATGCTCTGGCACCCATGCTGGAGGTTATCTACCCCTGACTTGAATGTGACTTAGCAGATTGTTTGAGTGTGCTCACATGATACATGGCTTTGTGAAACCCACCTGCATGAAGGAGAATTTCAGCTTAGCACTGGTACAGAAGCACAATCACATCACATTTTGGGCAGTCAACATTTTTAACAGGATTGGTAAATCTCTAATGTCTCTGCTGAAAGGCCAGGCAGAGAGCTTGAATTTAAATAAATAAATAAAAACATATAGGGCCTCAAAACTGCTTTAAAATGTTTAGTCCTTCATAAAACAAGCTTTGCTTCTAGTGAGTCATGCCATCTACATTATACCCCATTATTTTATTTTAAATCGCACCAATTTCATTGAGAACAGGCTGACAAAGAAATGGAAATGCAAGAGAAGATACTAGGAGGCAGACAGACCCACATGCCAAGGAGCACTTTATGGCCCCCATGTCCACTGAGTATGCACTGCTTCCCTCCAACCCTTTATTTTCATGCAACTCCTGCTGACACATGCACACACCTCAGCAGGGTAAGTCTGGCCCAGGGTGGAGCAGCAATTCATCTGAATGTGAACATGCTTCATTGCTGCATCCAGCTGAGAGGTTTGGCCAGAAGTACATGGGAATTATCTACACAGCAAATACACCAGGAGGTCTAAGGCTGTAGAATGGAGAAGGCTAGAATTATTTTGTTTGATTGGTCACCAACAAACTTAATTTGCAGCCCTGTGGGGGAGTACTTGGCAGACAAGATTCACCATCTTTTTATCATCAAATTGCCCTGTTTTCTTAAGGTAAAGGGGACACCAGCAACTTATGAAGCCTGAAATTTTCAGCATGCTACAGATCTTAGCAACACCAAAAATGGCTTCAACTGAAAGAAACCAGAAAAAAAAATATTTATTTCCCCCCAGTTAATAGGTTCATTCTGTGCATTTCACAGCTCTGTGCATTGTCAACATCGCCATTCTCCTAAATACCCACCAATTTAGATCCCAATTCTGGGACTGCCCCTGCACAAGGGGAGGGATAGCTTTGACCAGGTGCATTTTACTGGTTTATGGTACTTTCATCGTCTTAATGACAAGGGCACTGTAAACATCAACAGTGAAGCAGAAATACATGCAGAACCATTAAAGATTCTTTGAAAATTCAATCAAAATTAGTTATTTAAAAGAAGCACAATATAAAAAGATTTCTGAAACCACTTAGTTCAAGGAAAAATCATGTTGACAGTGCCCCTTTCAAAAATATATCTTAGATGAAGCAAGCTCATTTTCACTACTGAATTTGGAGGGAAGTACCCATTTGCTTCTGTGTAAAATCCTAGATGTGGACAATCACCCCTACGGCATTTGGTATGCATTTGTTTATGGAAGTGGGAAATAAACCTCCAGTACATACACATGCACATGCAACTTCTACAGGCACAGCTCCAAGAAAATTACTTTAGATTCACATCACATGAGATGTGAGAACCCAGTCCTTAAAAAAGGTATGATCCCAATTCTGAGGCTGGTATGGATCAGAAGTAACTGGAATATCACCAGTGCAAGAGTAGAAAGTTGGACCCAGTTTTGGGGGGGGGGAGTTTAGAGACAGACACTGACAAAAGTAGGATGTAGTCTACAAAAGTTCAGGCCTCTGACTAAGTAGTCTATAAAGCTGCCATCTTACCCTGCCTTCTGCCCAATATTTTTGTTTCAACGTGTGGAACGCTGAGTGTCTATGCCCCTGCAGATGGGCAGACGAACCTACTAACCAGCAGCACAAGAGCCCATTTCTGTGCCGCCAAAACTGCAAAATGCTAAGGTATTCTCATGCTTAGTCTAATACCTCCGTGTGTGTATTCCTGCTTTATTGTTGATGTTTACCATGGCATCTTCATCAGGAAGACTGAAATACTATGATCCGGGGAATGCATCTGATCAAACCTCTCTACCCTTGTGCAGGGGCAGTGCCAGAACTGGGATTTAAAAAGGTGGGTAATTTAGAAGCATCAATCAACATCAGCTTCTGCAGCCTTTTAAAGTCTGCTGGGAGCAAGAGGCATGGACAAACCGTCAGCCTGCTGCTCCACTTGGACTTTTCAAAGCCAGGCAGGCTTTGAAAAGTCCTTCTTCCCATTCATGTCAGCATGCTCACAGCCTGAGTACAAAGCCAGTTCAGAGGATGGAATAGAGAGTAGGTTGTACATGGATTCATTTGATGTATATACCCCGAAGGAGCACTGGGCAACTGACTTGTGGCCCTGGTTCCTAGCTTTATCTGTGAGCGTGTCTAGATGATACTTATTGCGCAGCAGCTCGTTACTAAGTGCAGTGGCGTCACCGAGCATGAACCCTGACACGATGCTACTGCGCGGTCGGCGTCACCAGGCAACCGTGCTGGGATGCTAGTGTGCGATAAAACTGGATACAGAGCAACTTGTTATGCAAGCACTAAATGCCTGCCTGGTAACAGCTGTGCAGTGGGCATCTTGTGTAGACGTGACCTGCGAGGCTGAAGTTGGTTCCTTATTCCCGGTCCCTTCCTCACCACTAACCTTTGCGCGGTGGCGGCTGTTCGCAGCGGCTGAGACACGCCGCAGAGTTGCTGGGCTCTCACCAGAACCGTGCGCGCACTGATACACGTGTAAATAACGTCGCGCTCGGATTGGGGCTGGGATTGTGGGGACGCAATCCTTTCTGGGTCACCCCAAGCCACCGCTCTCGGGACGGCCCTTCTGGAGAAGGCGGCCAGGGCGGGGCCGGGCCCAAGCTGGGTTTTCACACGCCGGCCTGCCAGTCCACACCTGGGTGCAATGGGGGGCCTCAAGTAAGGAGCTGAGTTTGGGCCGGGGTAAAGGGACCAACTTCAGCCTCCTCGCGGCAGGCCCAGGAGGGAGCGTGGGGCGATGGAGGACGGGGAGAGGAGCGGGGCTGCGGGGGCCCGCGGGGCTGGGCGGCGAGGCCGGGCCGACTTACCCGCAGCGGCTCCG